AGGGCAACAGCTTCATAGGCTGTGCGTCACCTTACACTGCTGCAGCACGTTGGGAGCAGGTGAGTGAGGAGCCAGGCACGTGTAAGTCTTCCTGGGTTTGGTGAGAGCTTGTGTCTACTGCAAAACTGAGACAAGAAGAGGAAGGGCAGATTTAGGAAAAGGAAAGAGGACCAGTTAGCCTAAAAAAGATCGGTGCTTCTACATCTTCTAGGGAATTAGTTTTATGAAACCAAAACGTAGCAAACGTCTGGTTATAAGATTGGCGAGGCTTCAGCATGTTGCCGCTACCATGTTGGTACCATCAGTAACAACAGCAGTCAGTCCCTCTGAGCACCTCCCATGTGGCAGGCCTCGTGTTGAATACTTCGCAGGCGCCATCTAATCTCATAACAACCTTGTAATGCTAGGAGACTCTCTATAGCCTTTTCACTTTGTAGAAGAAGAAATTGAATGTTTTCAGTGTGTCAGAGCAAGGATTTGAGCCCTGGATCTAAGTGTCTGTAAAACCAAGATTTTTTCAGTGATCCTACTTCACCAACTCACTGAAATAAAACACTCGCTGTTGTTTTGGTAAAACTTCAACGGTAACCGTGGTACAGCTCTCATGAATGTTCAGGCGCCATTGTGGGCGCACACATCCGCTCCCACCAGCCAAAGTGTGGGCTTCCCAAGAGGGAAAGTCTGTCAGTATGCTTGTTACTGTGGTTATGTTACGGAATATTAAGCGCTCAGATATGAGTGTAAAGGAAGTTGTTTTATCTGTGAAAATTAGATAAAACACTGGGGAAGATTCAATAAAGACTGGTAGTCCAACAAAACTAGGTATGGGAAGGAAGTAAGAAGAAAAGGATGCACTAAAAATCAAGAGTCGTTTTATGTGATCGTTTTCATCTATGCTAAGGGCAGTGCAATAATTTTTGTAGGTTATGTTTTATGGTTGTGATTTTTATAAGAAAGAACGCATGAAGCATCAGTCAGCAGACTCTAGAATGCCTGGCTGTGCAGTGACAAGATAGACAGATGAAGTCTGTCATACGAGATAAACGATACGGAAGTATGTTTCTCAATGATTCCTCTCTTCACATTGCCATTAGCCTACCCATTACTGCTCTCGATCTCCTTTCCAAGGGGCCTTCTGAAGGTGAGCCTATTATGAGAGGTGAGAAGAGGACAAAACTTCGGAGCCCTGTGAAAAGGAATTAAATGATAATGTTCCAAGTTGTGGAAAGGGAATGTCCACACAACAGTATTATGCGCCAGGCTTTGGGTTGGGGAAATAGAAAAGGAATGAATTCTTATTGTTATTTGTTTTCATTTTTCTGAAGAGCTTCACTTTTGTAGACTGGAAGGCATTTGTCTTCGCAAATGTAGACTGGAAGCAGTACCGCATAGAATAAAAAGCATGGGCGTTGGCATATATTAGGTACAGCTGCAGCAACTTAACCGTTGTCCTTAAGCAGTCTCAGAGTCACAGTATCCTCAAATTAAGATGGTACATTAAGGGGCTGGGGATTTAGCTCAGTGGCATAGCACCTGCTGGCAAGCGCAAGGTTGTGAGTTCAATTCCTGATACTGGAAACAAACAAACAAACAAAAAAAAACCAAAAAGATGGTACATTAAACCAGTGCCATGTAGTTATTAAGGAATATACAACGCTGGGCACACAGTAAGTTGTGAAAGGATCGTTCTTTCCTCTTTTGCCCCTTTTTATGGAACTATTAGAAAATGAAAGATACTAATCAAGAAGATAGGTCATGAAAAGGAATATTTACTGTCAGTTTTTACACCAAAATTTATTCTTGCCACATTTAAAGTTCATCTGTGAGATGAGACAAAAAGATGTCAAGAGTCTACTCTTGACTCCGGCTACTTAAAGAATTGTCTCAATTTTTTTTTAGTATTGTCTATTTCCTCTACAAGTGGCCAATCCAATCCAGTGTAACTTTGAGGTGTACAGCCTTCTGCTAATGTACCATTCCATGTCATTTATTTTACTTGCAGGTATCCGTAAAAATAAAGTCTATTTTCAGTAAAGAGAAAAGAAACAGAAGAACCTGTTATGGTTAGTCCACTACGTGTAAGCTTTTTATTTCCAGATGTGTATGAGGCTCTGTAATAAATGCAGTCTTTATGAAGCCTCCTCATGGTGGGAGTGGCAAGTATTCAGCAGGAGAGAATGGCGTCCTACCCGTAGCTTCTAAATAAGTAATAACTAGACCCAAGACTGCGAAGGACAAATTTTGTCAGCAGGGTACATGCAAGGCTAATTGAAAAGAGAAAATTAGTAAATGGAAAGAGGAAATGAGTAAGAATTTTGAGAGAGTTGCAGGTGATTTGGTGTTGGGAAGGAGAAGAAATGGGAAGTAAAAAAGCAAGAAGGGTTCTTCCTAATTGACATTTGTGAAGACACGTTTGATAAATGTGTCTGGATAACAGAGCCAGAATTATTCTTAGAGGTAAGGATTGTCTATATTGTATATATTCTGATACTATTTTAAAATACGTGTGACAGGAAACGGTCTTCTTAACAGATGACTACAGTTCATACTACCAAGTAAATGCAATTGGCATTGTTACGGTTATTCTTGCAAAAGTATTTGTTGAGCTCCTTTTCTGTCAGACCTCTTCGTAGGTACGTATTTTATTAATTATCTGATATGTAGTGAAGAACTGTTTATTTTCAAACTGGCAAGAACAGATCAACTTGTTCACCTCAACCCATGTTTAAAATATGCCACATTATGATGGCTTAGTCAAACTTCAAATTTAGCTTAAGATTTCATTTAGTCGTTCGTGCTAGTCCTGAAATAGATTATGTAGAACTGAATTGTATGTAAGGGTTTACGTCTTCAAAATAAGGGTCTGGTTTCACTGCTTGTTGTGATTGTAGGATTAAAAACAAGTCACAGTTTTATGTCTCCACATGAACACTCTTAGCAAAGTATCCTGAGATTGTTTACTTACTATCTTTACTAGATTCCTTTAATTAACCTTATTGGTATTTACAAAGTACCGATTGGCCCCAAGAAAATTATAGACATAGACACTGATACATAAAATGAATTAATTTACATAGCACACAAAGACCACACCAAATCAGAAATTAGAGTCCCTTTGAGATTGTAGGATCTTACTTTTTAAAAGAAGCTCTCTAGGACCAACCAATCCTATTCTTTGGTTATTCTCCCCTACCAGTGCCAAACACATGTGGGATTGTATTGGGATAAATCTGACATTTTTAGACTAGTTTCTGAAGAACCCTAGACTTGCAGGTCCTGAGGATCTGTATAGGTTGAGCGGCTGGATTGGTCATCGCACTCTCTTTTCCTTTCAGTGAAAGCATTTCTGATTTAGGCATTTCTGATTTGGGCAGAGTCCAACCAGCCTGCAAGATCCTTGCTTTGTGTGGACTCTAATGAGCTTACCTTTGTATACAAACGCTGTCAAGGTCAAGGGCTTTGTGATGAGAACCCCTGCGTGGGGAAGTAGAGTCTGAGGGGCACCGAAGCAGCGTGTCTGTTGTGTTTTGTGGTCAGTGGCCCTCAGATTCCTTAGTAGAAACTCTATCTGCTTTCAGGCTGAGTGACTTAAGAGAAATGTGGAGACCTTGGAGAAACGTGAGAGTCTAACCACAAAGACTCATACACAAAGAGATTTAGACCTTTATAGTTTAGTTTTGAAGAAACAAATTATTTTATTTGAAAAAGGGGAGTCTGAAGGCAATTAAATAATGAACAGTCTTCCAGACACTGAGACTAATTACAGTGAATTTAATGACCAGATTTCTTCATGTGCAAACAGTTTAAAGGAACCATACAGCTTTAACAGGAAGAATACCAAAAAGGAAAAAGCAGCAGAAAAAGATGCTAATCGTATTTAATCAAGAGAAGGGATCCCTCGGCATGCTGTTGATGCAGGTTTCTTACAGGCATTGTGAATTCTTTCCTGTGTTTCATGTATTAAAGTACCACCCAATGGAACTGCTTACATGAACTTTGTCTTTTTAATTCTGTGAATCACTGGTTTATCCTGAAATCATATCGTAAGGTAAAAATTTCAAACAATTACTTTGAATTTTAGTCTCCTAGCCTGATGTTGCCAGGAGAGGAGCTACTGTCTAATAGTGATGTGAAGGACGTTAGTGTCAACCAGGAACATTTATTCCAGAGGTCACGAGCTCAGAAACCTAGAGGGGCCCCCAGGCATTACAGTGAGTGAAGCGAACAGTGGATCTGTGTGGGGGGCGTTAGGGAAAGTGATGTGTTAGAGAATTAATAGGGGCAGCCACTACCACCTTTGCCAGCTATCATGTCACAGTGTACCTGTATTGACAGATCCATGGCTTTCTCGTAAAAATTGCGAATTTCACATGAAATTCTTTTTTCACATTGACAAAGTACAGTACTCAGTTCTGCAGGCAGAACAGCGTATATGTGGAATCTGAGCATTAGAAACCTTCAGTTCATCCTTCACCTCACTAGTTAACCATCACACTAATTAACAAACAAAACTGAACTGATTGAACACTAAAGTTTAGGACAGTTAGTTTACTAACCCTTGGTAAGACTTAATTAAGGTCCATTCCAACCGTGTGAATCTTTGATCTGTTTCCTTTCTTTTTGCTTCCAATAATCGGTGGCTTATTCACACAGGAGCGTGAAATTTAAAGAAATTACTTATTTCTTTCAGCAACATAATATTATGTAGTAAAACCAACAGGTTCTGAAATTGAAAACACAACAGTTGCTGCTATACTAAAATGCTAATGCAACTACTAAATTTTTAGAAATGCACATATGTGGTATGGACTTGTTACTTTGGGTCTTTGAACTAACATTTGTTTATAACATTGGCTGCATGAGGCATGCTTAATTTGAAAGCTAACTTTCACTTTACTATTTGCTGGTATGTTTTATTTCTCTTTTATAAAATATTTTCAAATAACTCACCTCAACCTGGGGTAAGGACAGCTAGATTCCTGAAATCCCCTGCTTTTCAGACAGGAGAATATGCCACGGATGAAGAAGAGGATGAGGTGGGACCTGTTCTTCCTGGTGGTGACATAGCCATTGAAGTCTTTGAGCTGCCTGAGAATGATGACGTGTTCTCTCCGTCAGACCTGGACACAAGCAAGCTCAGCCACAAGTTTAAAGAGGTAAGCTGCTGGTAGGCATGGTTCACCTGCACGATTCCATTTTGTTACTGTGTGTATGTTTCTGTATGAGTAATGCAAATAACATGTTAAGAACAATCAATTTTCAAGTGAAATCTTTTAGTACCAGATTGTTTCGAGCCTCTAATTTCAAAGCATACTTTACATAGAACTCATTCCACTTTCACTAATTTAAATGCTTGTTACTTTTCATAGTTGCAGTTTACAGTGTATCTAGCCCATAATTTCAAGCTATAACTAAAGTGTGCAAGTTTGTCTTAAGTTCAGCTTACATTTGTTCAGTTTCGTGGAGGTGTTGGTATCTGAGGAGTTTTCTATAAGGCAGTGACTTTTCTAAAAAAGTTCTTTTTGTCTTTTACTAAAATAGAGTCCTAATAAGAATGAGATGACATACCCAAAGGGTTTAACTGAAGAGATTAATGAACAGACTACAAGCAGGGTCGATAGAACTAACAAGGGATGGTGAAATGTTCAGGGACTGGCAGCAGCAGGATGCTGTCACCATCCTTTGGCTTAATAGGTAAAGAGAAGAAAAGAGATTCTGTTTTTGAAGGCGGGCCATATAGTACCTACAGCTTTACAAGTTGCAGCCACTGCTAAAAATTACATCCCAGGGAGAGGATGATCTATATCCTATAACCCTAACACTCTGCTCCTGCTGAGGCACCCCAGCAAAACTCAGGCAAGGGAATGTGGGCGGTGCAATCTCGAATGCTGAAGCGATCAGCCTCCTGAGGCAAGGAGCCATCAGAGAAGGTCAGGACAGACCTGGCGCAGATGTGCGTGCCCACGTAGACTCTTCTCCAGATTAGCCTCTTAGAACCCCGACGTGTGACGCTCAAACAGTGATGAACAGGTCCCCAAGCAATCCATCCTTGTTTGCTGGGGAACACCTCCTGTGTTGAAAATAAAAGATGTCCTTATTTACAGCATCTTCATTTCTTATTAAGGCTTTCTGGATTAACTGATATTTTTAACCCAAAGAGCAATGCAGTTTTGAAAAGGTAAGTTCTTCTACAGAAAGAGGCTGAGTATGAGGACGAGGCGTTAGGCAGGAGTGTGTAGACTCTGTCAGAGGCAGTAACATGGTAGTATTGCCCTGGCAAAGCCCTGTAGTATAGCTCTTTAGGGTTTTCCCATGAATAGCACCCCCTAGTCTCTGGTAGTAGATAGTGGAGCCAGAATAAGGGACCGTGTTGTTATCTAGAAGCTGGAAATCTTCAAAAGCAGAAACCAGATATGGAAGGTTCTATTCTCCAGTTTCGGAATTGAGCCAAGAATTAAATGGCCTCTAAGTATTTTCAGCATCTACTATAGTAGGAACAGCTCTGATCCGTACCAGGCCAGAGGCTGGCAGACTGTGCAACACTGGCCAAACCTGGGTTACTGTACGTGTTTTTTTTTTTGTAAGTAAAGTTTTACTCAAACGCGGTCCCGCCCATCTCTTCGTCTGCTTGTGTCTGAGTTCATAATATAAAACAAAGTTGAATTGTTGGAACGCAGACGCTGTGGCTTGCCAGTCCTAAATTATTTGCAATCTGCCCCTCAGCAGAAGGGTTTTGATGACGTTGGTATAGACCCATTCTCTATAAAATGGCAGATTTATTTTTAGCCTGATTCACCAAACTGGGTAGTTTTCTTATAACTTCGTTTTTCTTTAACCGTTAGAGGTTTATCTCCACCTTAAAAACAGGCAGATACCTCGTTTCAAATTATTTTATTCTCTGTTGTTTAATTTTTAGCATGTTGACATTAATTTCCTCAGGATTGCTTTTAGGAGGAGCTGCAGGGCACTTCTCCTTAACATCTGTGTCTTAGCTTTATCATCATTTACAGTGTCTCTCTCAGGCAGTTAACAGCCGCGTCAGAATATGCACCAGGCAGATTTTACAGGGTTATGCACAGAGCTTGAGGTGGGTGTCAAGGGTTGTATTGTAAAGCGTCACGTTATGGAGGATCTCTTAATTACCTCAAGCAAGATGCAAGTTGTGCTACTTGAGCGAAGCATATAGGCTGATTTTGTATCAGTCACCCCTCCTTTTGGGCCTGTTCATAGCTCCCTACTCGCCTCTTTGCTCCTGTTTTTCTGTAAGCTCTATCCTCAGACTTTCTGCCGTCCTTGACTGTATAGTTAGGACTTTGCTATTTAGCGAAAGGCTGGCATCAGTCATGTATTGAGAACCCATTGTATGATGGAGGGTAGGTACGTAATTTTTTTTTCAAAGTGGTTGACAGGTTGGCCAACACTTTCATTAAAAGCTTATTTGCGCACTTTCTTGTCAGAGAGCTGCATTATTATCTACAGACTTTGTACCCCTATGCTCAGGACTGCTCTGGGGCCTTCCTGTTCTTCTCCATCATTGCATTTTTCTTCAGTGAAGAGTTACTAGAATATTCATTAGTATTGATGAAATAAATCAGACCCATCTAACTTTGCCCTTTAAAATTTCTCTTTCAGGTTATTCAAGAAATATTTGAATCACTATAACTCGCTTTATCAATTCTTTTACATTTTTACTGTAATTAGATTAAAGTAGTAAATTAATTTATGGAAAACTGACATTTTTATCACATTGAGTCTTTTGACCCAACCTGAGAGAATATAGTTATTTCATTGAAGTCTTTTTTCTGACCTGCTCTAAAATGTGACAGAACCCTCTGTTCATTATGTGAGTGTCCAGCGATAAGTAACACAAAATCTGAATACAGTGAGTTAACCAGAAGTTGCCACCAAGGCTGTATTAACTTCGATAGAAAGTAGTAAGTTTCCCTTATTTTCTTTTATTTTTTTCCTGCTCTCTTTCTTGCGTGCTTCCCCCAAGTGCTTGTTAGAATGCAGGAGGGTGAGGTTCATCTTGGTAACCTGGTGCATGCATTTGATACATCTTCACCTCATGCTATCCCCGGAACCCCGTCTCCCTTTCTGCTTCCCTCCTTTTTTAAACTAAAAGAAATTGCTCTCTATTACTCCTACATTCATTTTTCCACTTTTCTTTGTAGTTGTTTTTCATCAGTTGCATTTAGCGCAGAAGTTTTAGTAGCATCCTCATTCTGATAGCTGTATTTAAAGCTACATTTTTCTGAATGTCACTTTAGCTACACATCCGGTTTTTACATCTAGAATGCTGTTGTCCTCTATGTGTCATTTGTCCTGTGATTTCCTCTTTAACACAAGAAAGTATTGCGTGTTGTGTTTTTTACTTCCCAGACACACAGAACTTTATTTTGCTATACTTTGCTATCATTTTCTAACCTTATTGTATGCTGTTCAGAAAGTATGTTCCATGTAAATAACTGTTTAGAATTTCTGAGCTGTTCATAACTCATACACAGCTTTAATATTCCTTGTATGTTTAGAAAACATGAATAGTCTGTGTTTGAGTGTGGAATTTTTGTTTTTCATATACAAATAAAAGTAGTAATATAAAAACATGCATAGGTTCTATAGTGTAGCTTAGATTTTGTCTTCTTTACCAACTCTGAAAAGCATATGTTAAAATCGACTACTATTTTTTCTTTCTTCCTATAAATCTATCAGTTTCAGTTCTAGTTTAAATCTTTGTTGTTAGCCGCATATGTATTCAGGATTATTACAACTTTTTGATTTATTGTAACATTTCTTGTCCCTTATAGTAATACATTTCACCTCAAGTATATTTTGTTTGATAGTAGAAACTTAACCCTGGCTTTGTTTTCACTTTATATTTGCTTCACAGCATGTGTATTTTCAATTCTTTTATTTGAATCCTTTTCGTACCCTTTTGAAGTGTATTTTCTTTAAGCAACCTCTTTCTGAATCTTACTTTCATATTGCTCTGGGCGTGTTTGTCAGTTAGCTGGTGAGTTTACTTTATTCACATTTACCCTTAGTCACTTTTGGAGTAGAACTTTTTTTCTTGTTTTAAATTAATTTTATTAGTACGTGCTTGCCATACATAATGATCACATTCATCATAGGGAATTTGTAACTATATATAGTATGTCTTAATTCTTCTTTTTTTTCCCATTGTCCTCCCCTCCCTTCAACCCTCCTTCCCTCCCCATTCACAAGAGCTTTGTTTCCACTTTTTCCTTTCATTCTCTTTTGTAAAATCCCTTTTCTCTTCCCTCGCTTCTGCCTCCCCCTCCCTTGTTCCCCTTCCCATCTGAACGTGCTCTTCCTACCTCGCAGTGTCTGTCTGCTGTTTTGCCTCTTATTTACCTTTTGGGTTTCTCACACAAGAGAAACAGTGTGATGTTTAAACTTGTGTGTGATTTATTTCACTTAAAATTGTGGTCTTGAGGTGCATCTATTTACCTATAAATGACTCATCTATCCTCCTTTAAGGCAGAGTGCTACTCCACTGTATATTACCACATTTTCTTTATAAGGATTAGAGCTTATGCCTGCAACCTTATTGCATATTTTCCACTTCCCATGCTTTCTTCATTTCTCTTTGCAATATCTCCACCTGCTTGCCATTCAATGTATCAAATTTCATTTCTTGCTTAAAAGTTAACATTTAAATGTTATTACTTACTTTGACTTGGTTTTAGGTTGTTCTTCCTAGCAACATAGACTGCAGATCAGTATCCATGTTTGTATCATTTAACCTCTCCTCCTCTCACTTACTTTTTGTATTGCAGGAGTTTAAGCTAAATACGGGTATACCTTCAGCTAAATACGTTCGTAGGTCTTCCTTTTAGAAAATGCTGCTTTCAGGTTATCCTTCCTGCCAGGCCTGCTATTCTAAGTATAGTAGTACGCCAGTGCTGCTTTGGTGCTGATTCACTGGCATCTGTGGCCTGTTGCTTTGCTTCTGCCTGGCCCCAGAGAGTCTCACCACCTGGCGCTCGGTGGCAGGAGGTCACGGCTTGATGGTGCAGCGTAGGTTTCTGGGGTTTACCCCTGGAGGCAGGCTGACCAAGGCTGTGCAGAGAAGACCGAAGATGAATTAAATCACTGTGCCCCATTCCTGGTTACTGACATTCTCCTGCTTCCG